CGATCGCTATTCTTTCAAATGGGAGACCGACGTTGTACTGTTTCATGGGCCCCCGAGATCTTAGTTTAAGGCCTCTACTAGTAGCACAATAGTGGACCCAGTAAAAACGTTCCCGAATTTTTTCCGAAGTCTTGTTAACTCCAAAATGTGCCCCTGAAACTCCGTCATGTATTTCTGTCAATACATCTTCTACTCGATCTTTTGGAATAACTAGTTGGCTCTTCGTAGTTTCCCCATCGGCACTTTCACAAACTCTTTCTAGTAAACCATTTTCTACGGCCAGAGGGTTCCACTGAGCCCACAACGCTTTGTGAATCAAACTCTTGTTCGATAGTCCCCTCCATTCTGGCCTACATTCATAATTTTCTTCAAGATGAAGAATTTTTCCGATGTCCTGATCTACGTCTTGATCTCCTCTCATTTGTTTGGTAGTCCATTTATCATCAACAATAAGACCCGTTCTTCTCACAGCTGGACCAGGGTTTCTCTCATCCATATCGATTCTTTAACAATGCTGGCAATCTTCTTTACATGGCCGTCTTCACAGAGCGTCAGTATTTCTATGCAAGTTTCCAGGTCGAGGTTTAATTTTGAAGCTGTCCTTCGGGAGTTTTCATTTCTAAATGCCATTTTAGAACTGCATGATCCGTTCGAATCAGAAACTTACGTCCGTAGAGATACTAATGGAAATGGTCGACTGCTTTTACTATGACAAGCAACTCTCTTCTGGTGACACAATAATTTCGTTCTGGCTTTGATAAGGTTCTGCTGTAGTAGTACTCTACGGCATGCTCTTGTGAATTTTGGATTTGTGAAAGTACCGCTTCCATACTGGTGTTGCTTGCATCTGTGTCCAAAATCAACATGCCCTTCTAATCGGGATAGGACAACACTGGGCTTGTACATAATGCTCGCATTCTTGGGTCCAATTAAATGTTGATTTTTCTTCCGTTAATCGATGAAGCGGAGCAGCTATATTGGCGAATCCTTCCAAAAATCTTCGATAATAGGAACATAATCCTAGAAAACTCCTTAGTTCATGTTTGTCGTGTAGTTTTGGCCAATCCCTGACAGCATCTATTTTTCATTCCAAACACTTATTTGGATTTAGTTTTAAGTTGGCATTCCGGAAGCGGTCCAAAACTTCATACAGGTTATTGAGATGTTCTTGGAATGAATTTCCCATGATCATGATATCATCTAAATATACCAGATAAGTTATCCATGTAAAGCCTCGCAAAACTAGATGCATCAGTCGCTAAAACGTCGCGGTAGCATAACACAATCCGAATGGCATTACGTTAAAATGGTATAATCCGCTTCCGGTACTAAAGGCAGTTTTCTCTTTGTCATCTTTGTGTATTGCCACTTGCCAGTATCCACTCTTAAGATCCAAGGTGGAAAACCATTTGGAGCGCGATAGAGTTGTTAATGTATCGTCTATCCTCGGAAGAGAGAAGCTGTCCTTCTTGGTGACGTCATTAGGCTTTCGGTAGTCCACACAAAATCTAAGACTTCCATCTTTCTTCGTAACCAATACTACTGACGCAGACCCTGGACTATTTGACTCTTCAATAATTCCCTCTCGAAGCATTTTATCAATTTGGTTTTCCCCTTCCTGTTGTTTAGCTACTGGCATACGTCGAGGTGGTTGTCTAATTAGGTGTGCTAATCCAGTATCAATTTTGTGTTGAATTAAACTGGTCCATCCGGTTTGATTATCCATCACAAATACGTCTGCTTCTTTCAGGATGACATCTGTGGTTTCTTGAAGTCTATCTGGATCGAGGTGTTTCCGTGATTTCTCCAAAGTCTGCATCAAGGTGTCTGTATCAAATTTTGATTTTTTCAAAATGTCGCTTATCTGGTAGGTCATAGTTCGATATTTGCTTAACTGGTTCGAGAGTTCCAATAATATCTCCTCCCTTTAATTTTACTGTTTCAGAAGAAATATTGGCAATTCTTATCATAATGTCTCCATTTGTTCTTACTAGAGCCTTTTCAACGAGAAATGTTTTTGGTTTATCTCCAACAAAATTATATGTAAGTCCAACGCACCACCCAGGGTTTATTTCCAATTTTCCGCAGATGATCTTCTGAGTACTTCCAGGAATCCTCACTGGGTTTGTGGCCAGGATCTTAACGGCTTGAGATTCTTCTTGTGTAGTTAGGACAAATTCTTCATTACCAAATGTAAGGATGTTCATAGAAGGATCGAAAGAGAAACCATGTTGGCCGATCAAATCCATTCCTAAAATAAAATCATCTTCTATATCGGCGACTAATGTTCTGTGCCTGAAGATGGTAGATCCAAAAGTAAGCTCAATCATAGCTTCTCCTTGAACTTGTTCTGATTCGCCACTAACTCTCCCAGTGTTTACTTGGTGTCTATGCACTAGTGTCCGCAGTAGTTCGCACTATTCTGCAATCGGATTTCACTTTGCAGTCCTCATATCTCACTTCTGACACCAATATCACGGCTCTGGGGTGTGTGACAGAAATCTTGGGTCCGTTTACTTAAAATCAAAGCCCGATTAACACAACACAATTTATTCCACGTTACTATATACTCTGACACTAATTACTTTACTAATTAACTCAAACAGCTAAATTCTTAACAACTGTCAACAATAATCACTATCTAAATCATATCACAGCCCATCTTAAACCTAAAAACTACTAACTAATACCGGCCTTTATATATCCGTAATCTATTCTTGCGAAATCCAGAATAAACTCGATAGACCTTTTTTCCGAGGAGCAACGTTAAATCTAGGATCAGTTGTCCAATTCTGTACACCATGGCGGAAGCGCCACTTTCTTTGACAGTATATTCTTTCTGTGCGTTGCCTTGTTGTTCTACATACCATTTCTGACAATTTATAAATTAGTTCTAATCGTAGTTCTTCAGTTACATTACGGATTCTTTTGATTTGTTTAGAATATAGTTCAGATACATATCGTCTGAAATTATAAAAGGTCAATTTGTAATTGAAATGGCTTTATAAAAATTTACTTATCACTTATCGAAAAGTAGACAATAAATCTTGTATTCGAACTGACGTCTAAATTACCATATTGAACGTATAGAGCGGCAGAATCGGCCGTCTGTACGCCTATGCGCAAAGGAAGATTGTGACTTTGGAGTAGATTTCTGTAACGGCTGTCAAAATAATGAACAGTTATTTGTTCACCAAAAATATCACCGAATTCTAATGGCAGCACTAATCAATTCTAGCTTGTCTTGGCAAAATCTGGTAACGCTTTTTCAATATAACAGTAGTTTCGGTCAGATGCTACAATTATTTGTACCAGACATTGGGTATCTCTCCATACTAATAACTGAATCAACGGTTGACAGGGTACCGTCGAGATGGCTTATCACTATTGGTTCTAAGAAGGATAGTTTATTATCCATTCGCCCTTCCAATAGTTAATCTTATTTCAATCTATACATATATATAAACGTGAAATTCACTCACTCACTGACTGACTGATTAAACACGAAATCTCGAAAACTACTAAACCAATCGAGATGAAATTTTGCAAACAGGTAGGTAATAGGTTGGAGATGCTCACTAAGAAATAATATCAACATGGCCTTAAGCAATCGCCTTAAATAACTAAAAATAAGAAACGGTGCGGTGCGGGAGTGCGGGAAAAAAAGTGTAAACAGAAACAGACGACGTGTCAGCTGTCAAATTCAGAAATATGACAAGCAGAATCAAATTCATAGCGATTTCCATTTGCAGAATCGGTGCAAAAAAAATGTGTTTTTGTCGTTATATTTTCATGCTTTCACCAGAAACGATTCGGAACCGATTCTGAACAAATTCCACCGGTCCCAGGCTAAGCTAACTTCAAGTTTGAGACATGACATTCGCAATTCGTTCACGTATTCGACAGTCTGGAGCAAGGTTCTGGAGTTTTTGTTCGGTTCCAAAACTGTTTGCGATAAAATAGGAACCTGAACCCATTCACAAGTTGGGTTCGGGTTGCTCACTCCGAGTTACTCCGATCGCACTCCAGCCGTTATCTGATAAGCTAAAAGGTAATACCCGAACGGCTGAAGTGCGAACGGAATCACTCGGAGTGCACGGAGTGAGCAACAAAGCTATTAGCAGCGAGTGGCACTTCAAAAAAATTTAACGTCAGCTGTCAAAAAATAGTCTTCATATTCTGCAGCCACAAAGCAGAACAAAAAATGTGGTTTACAGAGAGGTGCTGCAAAAATAAGAGTTGCATGACCATATGTCTGACGCAACTATCCCCTTAGCTCTTTGAAAGAAGATTACCTAATGCTACCTACACCCTACACCTACAAAATTTGTATAGGGCGTGCGAAGCCGCGGGCAACAGCTAGTATGATGATAATTATTAAGAGGGCTCAGAAGGGAATTTGTCTGAAACAGTGTCTCCTATTAAACGCACGAAGTCGGGCACGGTATGTGAGGCGAGCAACGTCGATAGGCAAAGGCATGCGGCAAGCATGGTGTAACAGCAAATCATATGTCGAGGGGCTTTTAAGGGCGGCAGTAGAGTCCCAAAGTACTGCACGGTCAGAGACTTCATCCAAAGACTACTATGGTCGTAGCAGTACCCTGTTCCATCGGATCCAGTGGCTCAAAAACTAAGGAGTTAGTTCATTAGCTGCGCACCTGCTAAGTCACTTAAATAAATCACGCGCCGCTGTTCATTACAGTACGAAGCCCTTTGGCGATGGACGAAAGCGGTGGGTTTGGCTTCATGGTACGGGCTGGGCCTAGTTTGATGTTCACACAAAGGCGGTCATCATAAGAGATGGGTCGCTCAAGTATTTCAGGGGTACCCATAGATGACTGTTCCGTAGCTCTTATGATGGCAAAGTAGCCCTGTTCAGGGAGGCACTACTTTTCCCAGTCAGGCGAGGGGGCTAGAAAAGGTGCTCTAACCAAAGCATACCCCAAAAACTCAAACGAGTGGTATTTTTTTTTATAACCACGGTCGCTCGTGCATCTTTCATGGCCCAAAACTATAAACGGAAAAATACTGAAACTGGAACTAAGCTCAAGATAGCAACCTGGAACGTAGGAACGTTACAGGACAATCCAAAAAATGTGTGCCCAGAATGGGAAACAGCTATTGTAGCTCGCGAGCTTAAGAGATGCAACATAGATATTGCTGGTTTGAGCGAGACTAGATTTGCTGACGAAGGCGTCGATTTCGCAATAAGAAACTCTTCGGTGAAAGAACTTCCTTCCTGGAGGTATTACTGACAGAATAATAACTCTTCGGGTGCCTTTAGCTGGGAAAAGTAATCTCACAATAATAAATGTGTATGCACCCATGGATAATGATGACGCTGTTAAGGATAATTTTTATATGAAGCCTTGGGTGCGCAAATCACAAAAGTGCCGAAAAGTGACAAGCTAATAAATTCTCGGAGATTTGAACGCACGTGTAGGGTCGGATTCTGAGGCCTAGGAGGGTGTCATTGGCAGGCACGGTCTAGGTGGTGAAAACTCAAACGGTCTTACACTTCTTATGCTTTGCTCGCAATATATTCTGTGCATAACCAATACTATATTTAGACAAAGAAATAAACATAAAACTACTTGGCTGGTCTAAACATGGAGAACTTGTCTGGTATATTATTTAGATGAAGTCATGATCATGGGAAATTTATTCCAAGAACATCTCAATAACCTGAATGAAGGCACATCTTGGATTACGTTATTGTTAAACAGAAAGATATAGCCGATGTACTCTCAACCAAGGTTAGAAGTGACGCAAATTGTGGGACTGGTCACAGGCTGGTTGTTCCTGAGATGCAGTTAAGAATACACAGAGCGAAAAAATCAATGAAGCCACCCTCGAGAAGACTGAATGTCGAAAGACTAAGAAACTCACACGCAAATGCTTGGTTTAGAGAAAAAGCCAATGATTTATGCGAAGCTACAAACAATGACGAAATTTCCACTGACGGATGGACAAACTTCTGCGAGGGTTTATACAGAGTTGCATATGAAACGCTGGGTAGGCCAAGGAGACACCATCCGGATTGGTTCGATGCAAATAGTATTGAACTGACAAATGCCCTCAACAACAAAACATAACTCTTCGGCGCAGTGTAAAGGAGTCTCATAGGCTTGTTAGGCATCTTACTTGAACGCTTAAGGACAAATGGTGGCAAGAAATGGAAAATCTGAGTGATACTCACTAGATGGGTGCCTTTTATAATAAAATGAAGAGTGTGTTGGGCTTTACCAGGAATATTTCAGTGCCAGCTAACGCACTAGACGGTAGAAGGCTTACATCTTTGCGAGAATGCGCTCATCGTTACAATGAATCGTGTAACAAATTTGGACTTAAAATAAACATCCGCAGAACAGAAGTATTGCAGCAAGCTCCGAAGAATGCACATGAACTTCCGCTTCAAATGAACATCCATATTGACGGCACAGAGATGGAACAAGTAAGTCGCTTCAAGTATCTCCGCAGTCTCATAACACCAGATGCAAGGGTGGACGCTGATGTGAATACTCGAATTGCGCAGGCATCATTACCCTTTGGAAAGTTTCACCAGAAATTTCTTGAATATCATGATGTAAGTTGTTACAAATAACACCAGTTATTTGAACTTTAAGATAAGAGAACCTAGGGTCGTGGAATTTCAAAAAAATTGAGATAACGTGTAGCCCCTTTATGTGCAAATGAAACCACTCAAAATCCAACAAACAATAATTTTATTTTGTTTACAATGTAATGTAGTAACAGTCAATGTGACTTTCTGTAAAATTTGACCGTTGACAGCTTGGTTGTTCCGGTGAATCTGATACAATGTACCTTTCCAATCCGGAGCTCTTGAATGGATGTTGGGGTTTCACTTTAGTGAACTGGAGCTCTTCGGGTTGTTTCCTGTATCCAGGAAAGAGGATAGATTGCTGGGGTAACGTCACTCCAGCTGATCCAGACTTCAAACAGTGATCTTTATGTCGAGTAAGTACCCAGAAAAAAATAAAGCAGTATCATGTTCGCCAAGATTTGGAATATTAAATCCCTGAATTCTGTCAAAAAGAGAGTGTCTTGCAAAGAAAATTTAAATTGAAACTTAATATTGTTGTGAAGACACTTCTGTCCCACAGAATCAGGTAAGTATGAGCGACTATTGTAAATTGGGGAAATATTTAAATATAAAAAAACATTAAATAATTGAAAATAATGGTAAGATAATAGTAAAATTAAAATAGGTAATAACAGCAAGATTAATTTAAAATGCTCGTTATAATTGAGCAAAATGCTGCTTTTCTGGCAGTAGCAATAACAGGTACGAATATGAACAGAATCAGATAAAAATTAGAAAATTAAAACTCTAGATTCTCCCCCAAATAGACAAAATTTTCCTTTTAAGTTGAGGTAGCCACCACAGGCACTACAAGATAAACCTGAGGGTGAAATTTGAGGTGAAATCAATCAAATCCAGAATATGTCAAAATTCTTGAGATGTTTTAATAAAACTTTTTTTAAATGAATTTTTTTGACCTGTCTGGATTTTTATTTTAGAAAATTACACCCTTTTTCAACACTCTTCTCTTCGAGAAGATAATAATTGATGAAGTCAAACAGAAAATGGCTCTATATGCCTCTGCCTGGATTCAATATAAAGATTTGATAGGGATGGACACACAAATTTGGTTTTCACCGACTCTATTTAAAGCAAATGGTCCAATATTCCCACACTAACAATTGATTCTGAAAAACAGAGCAGCAGTACCTATTTATTAGCCCAAAAATCTGAATTGACTAACCTCAGAAAAACGTGGAACCACCGGCAATCACACAAAACGGAGGCCCACAATTAGATAAGAAATTAAAATATAATATTTATATTTCAAAAAAAAAATAGATAAGATTTTTCAGGTAAAAACTCAACAGTGATATGGTAGTATGGCACTGATAGCAAAATATATTGAAAAATTTATAAGGGAGAATCTGAAAATGTGGAGGAAAAATTATAAAAATAAAAATGACTCGCCTGCTAGAGCACTGCCAGAGAAAGAGAACGTTTTAGAAACCAAACCCTATAGGAAAACAATCCTGTGTTTTTTATATTTAACTGTGTTTCAACCAGATCAACCAATCAGATGACTACACCCAAAAGACCATATTCATTTCACAATGAAAAACCACGTGGAATAAAAGAGAATACTTAGATAAAAATCCACTAGAATTATTTTAATTGTTTACAAATTATAATAATTTAAATTAAGGTTATGTTGAAAATAAAAAACTGCTAATTAATTAGGTCATTAGGCCAAAAATGATTATTTCAGAATCAGAAGTTAGAAAAAGACAGAAATATATCCATTTGCTAAAAGTGAGATAAATATAATTTCTTTCAATGAAAATACAAATGACTGTCAAATGCGAAATAATTAAAATTATACTTTGAAAAATATATCCATCAGGTACTAGATGGCAGTACCTTCATTTAATAATAGATATTTGTATTTTATGCACATGATGGATAGATGGCAGTACTAGTATTATATCGAACTTTGTGGATATTTTTAGATTACTTAGATTATGAATTATTATTTTGCTGATTCTGCAATGGCAAAAATACAAGTTTATAATGAAAATAAGAAGAGATGGAACATGTTACGTGAATGATAAATTTATCGTAACAAAGTTTTGGAACCAAGGTAAAAGTGTACCGTGCGTATCAATTTTTTTGTATGGATCAGAATCATGGATTCTATGCAGGCGGCACATTTTGAATCTTAACCAATTTCACTTGAGATGTCTCAGATCAATACTGACTATAAAGTGTAATCGCTATATAAGAAACACCAAAGTTCTGCTTAAAGCAAAAATGGATGGCAATGGCTACGTTCACCAGAACCAAAACGGATTGTAAACAGTTTACAAATACCAACAGAATATGTTGGGTAAACTCTTGGTTGTGCTGAACGATTCAACTTTTCAATGATAGAACGTCACATTCTGAATGACAGGTCACCACACTAAACACAATGTTGAAAATTATAAACACTCTGAAATTATGCTTGCAAAAATGGCGACCGTTTGCAAAACATGTTTGGTTTTAACACAAATTCAACGTAGCGTTCAGCAGAACAATCGCAAACCGTTTACCAACGTTTGTATCTGGTGAACGTGGCCATTGAGTCTAGGTTGATGAAACGGCGACTCTAATAGTGTGGTCACATCGTGCGTATGAACAAGGACCGCCTTACAAAGCAGATATTTTTCCCAGAGCTACTCCATGGCGGAAGACAGTGCGTAAGACAAATACTGCGCTATAGAAATACTCTGAAAAGAACTTTGAACAAATACCATAATAATCCAAACATTTGGGAACAAAATGCAGTAAACCGGCCAATGTGGAGACGATCAATCCATGAAAATATTAAAAATTTTGAAGATAGAAGGCTTCAAGAACTGGATTCACACAGAAACATGGTTAAACAAAGGGAAAGGATAGTTGCTATCTATGTTTTTGATGAAAATGGACAACTTTGCTGTCCTCAGTGCCAGAGAACGTTTGTCAACCAACTGGGATACCATAGTCATCAACGATCCCGGACTCATGAGAGAGCTTTGAATATGAATATGGCTCTGTAATGATCGCTGTTGCCGCATTGACAAGAAATGGATGATGATGAATCATTGACATTAAGATGTTCGGATACTTAATACTTTGTTTCCTGGACACGCAAAATTTGTATCATCTACATAAAGTTCAAGAGTATTGGTTTCAACAATGATAGGTACCTATTTATGGAAAAAAATATATACTACCTATATTTTGTAAGGTTTTTTTATGGCTGATGGAAGACTCTCATATTCTATTGAAAAAAAATTATATTATTTTGTATTTTATTTATTCCACAAAAAGGATTCAGTAGCAATATGATCGACGATAGAATTGCAAATAATTTTTTTATGATAAAACTCTTTGTACAGTAGATCATTGTCCTGTCGGCTTCATTCCTTTGTACAAAATATAATGAAGGCTTCACCTACCAAGCTACTTTATTTAGACGAAATTTTAAGTATATTCACTAGTTTGTTCAATTTCTTGAATAAATCACAATAATCGAAAAATGTTTAAACATTTTATGAGTATAACTTCAAATAACGAAACGACGTCATATATCAGAAAAGTCTTTACGTGATGGTGGGCGTTGTTTAGCACCCAGGCGTGAATGATGTTTAGCTATCTTATCTGCCAAAGTTTAAGTTATGTCGGTTT